AAACATTTTATAATTGGGCAAAGCTAAAAAAGTACTAAGTACAAAAATATGAGAAAAATTGATAACAAATATTTAAATTGTTTTGAAATAGTTTCCTCAAACACAATGGATATCAAAATACCCAGAACTTAAAATTCTATAATCTTAAACCTTAATCACAAACAATTAAAGATCCTGTAACTCAATTTTTATCGTTTTATATCATAAATAAAATGTTTCAAATGAAGATTTATCAATAGTGTAAGTTTCAAAAAGCATTTATTGTAAAGATATATTCGAATTTACATTTTTATGTATAACTTAATAAACGGAGGTAATAAGAAATTTATTTTCTATAAAGTGTAAGTCAATTTTTATCAAGACATGAATGCATATATTTTACTGATTACATATAATGTGGACAAATATTTTCAGTACATATTTTATATATTTTGGATGTTTGAAAATTGTTTTAGTAGCGTAATTATATACAAATATAAAATTTCAACCTTAATTACATCATGCAGGATCATTAAAAAAAATTAAAAAATATACTATGCTCATCTTTTAGTGAAAAAATTTAATCACAGAAATTTGTTGAAATCTTTGAAATTCTAACTGAATATGTTTAACTTGAATAAAAGAATGAATAAAATGTGTATGGGAAGCTTTACTTTGCCCCTGTTACGGGCCAAGTAAAGTTGGTCTATTCTTAAAAAACTGCCAGTTTTTTAATGACATTATATATTCATAATGTGACAACCTATAGTTTGTAGAATTTTACTTTGTATGAAGGCAAAAATCAATATTTTCGAATATCAAATTTGAGCATAGTATTTCTTTAAGAAATAGGAAAGAGAAAATATTGCTTATCAATTTTTGAACACAGCAAAATAATTGTTTTTATTTAATAGGATATTATAATAGGAAAAATGATTAATCAAGTATATCATCTGCACAAAATGTTGGTTCAGATTTTGAGCGGAATTGGGACAGAATTATCATGGAATCAGTGATTTCTGCGCAAGCAATGGACGGAAATGAAATTTCATTTCATTCCATTTTTCAAGGATAAATATTTCACATAAAAGTAACCCAAAGTGTAATTCTATTCTTGTTTTTGCACATAGAGAAATTGAAATCAATATGCCTTCAAACTAAGAAAGACAGGTGTAGTTTATGAATTTACTGGTGTATTTTTTTAGACATTTAGGCCTCTATTTTTGATATTAAACAGAAAAAAAACAGAAACAAAAATGCTCATGAAACTGTCCTTTTAATATATTTAAAATCACGGAAACAATATGCCTTGATCATTGCTTACGTTTAGGATAAATTAATACTACACCCACTGAGATTTGACACCACAAAGATAAGAGACCTGATAAAACGGGCCACCTTTGTTCTCCCACCATATGTGCATGACTAATTTACTCACTGGTCATTCCTATAAATCAGACTGTTCGATATGATTGTTTTGGGTAAGATGATATTATAAACTTGAATCCTATGCGGAATTTGCCTAGAAAGACATGTAGGAATGTAATATAAAATAATATGTGCTTTGATTTTTGAATTAACTCTGTTTTACACAATGATTGGCCTGTCCTGTTACACAGTTGTTAAGTTTGCATGGTCATCCTGAATCTTGGGATACTGTAAATTACAGAAGATCTACTTGATGTTTTAGTTTTATCAATTTTGGAGATAAAGATTTGTTAAAGATGTTAAGGTATTTAAGTTTAATAAGAATAGTATTGGTTAATAAGAATGACACGAATCAGAATCATCTGAGACAAGGAGATCTAGTAATCAGGTAAATTTATTTACTTTCCTGCAGGAACAGGTTATATATCAAACTACCAAGGTAGCAAATAAAAATTTGTAACCAGAGATCAAGGTTATTTTTATATATTAAACTTCATACATTTGATTTACTAATAATTGATTTAAATCTGGATGTGATGGTCAAATTAATTTGTAATATAATGGATAATGATATGCAGTATTAAGCCCCAAAGGGTATGTTTTTAAATCTCTATACTTAACTATTCTAAATCTTTCCCAGAAAAAAATGTTCATTGCACAATTATTTGAAACCATTTAATTTCTTTCTTTAAAAATTCTTATTTAAACGAAAATTGCATTTAAATTCTTACATTGAATTTCATATCCAATTTCTCAACAACAAAAATCCTGCAACCAATTAGTACTAAGCAATTACTTTATTAGTGTAAAGTTTCTTTCTTAAGGAAACATTGGCTTGCTGACAGGATTTGAACCAATTTGATAAGCAAAGTAATAATAGTTTACATGTAAACCATTTGACCATGCCACCACTTGTGTTTATATTGCATGTACAGTTTTATGACATCATTGCTTTTTGATATTACAAAAGTTTAATTTTAACAACTTCATTCTCTACTTCATTACAATGATAAAAAATTTATTTTTGAAATCAAAGGCAATTGAAAATCATAATAGATTTCTTCTTTAAAGTCGTGTTTTAGACAGGTTATATGGCGGGTGATTCTTATGTTTAAGTTGATAAAACTATCAAAGGTATACACTTGAACCAGGCTTAATGTATGAGGGACATTTCTTTATCATGCTAATTAAATGAACATTTTGTTAAATTTTATAATGTCAAGGGCTAGAATCTGGTTCATGTATACTAACACATATGATCTTTTATTGGTTCACGGCTTAAAAGATTAAAGTGTATAAAGAGTCACTAAATATTGTCTTTTTCTTAGAAATAGTGAAAGAGTTATTTTAAGTCAGAGCGTCAGTCATTGTAACTGTCCAAGATTGGGAGATATCAGCTGGGAGAAAATGACAGATATCCTGTAAGCAAATCAATGCAAATGCCATGCAGGAAAAGTTAGACTGATTAACTAGTGAATCAAAGGCTGGCATTTTTTTATCATCAGTTTTGTGGAAGATATTCTTTAATGCCATCGTAGTTAATCTTCTTTTTTCTCTCAAATTTTATAAACTTCTCTTGGATCTAGCACAGGTTTGCTGACATTGGAAATAGAGTAAATGTGTGATTTTTTTTTTATAAATTATGTTAAATGTTATAAATTCACCATTTTTATACAAGTGTACATGTGCAAGTGATGCAAGTGCGATAAATTGCTGTTGTTTTTAATGGTTACCTTTGTTGGTGAATAGAAGTATTATGAATATTTATCTTTCATTTTCTTTTTTATCAATACACCCGTAAACACTTTTGATATGGACTACGTAAATTACCGAGGTATATCGAGTGAAAAAATACGAGTTGTTTCCCTTACAAAACAATACAAATATAGCCATTTTTAAACCGCTAGTTTGTTGTGATAAAATGTCCGATATATTTTAAAATCTATCCATCAATGGAAAGCTTTGGATCTTAGCTTTGTCTCAGAATATATTTTAACACATCGTTTGACTCCAAAGTATTTAAATTAACTGTTAAACCTACCATATGTCTGACCATTTTACATACGATTTATACAGTGAGATACGCAACTGGTTATCTTTACTCGAAAAACTACTGATAAGAATATTCTGTCGCCTGCTAGTTGGGAAAGTGTTTATGGGTGTATTACAACTAAGTAATGTATGTGAATAGTGTAGACTATTAAAATTCATCATATTGACATCAAATGAATCTGTATCAGATATGAAATTAATGACTTTTAACGGTGAGTCAATAAATTGGCATTATTTATCAAATTTGTGCATTATATGTTTTTTCTTTCACTCTAATCCCTTCAATGGTATGTAATGTTTATATGCATATAAAATATAAAATATGATAAAGTATTGAAATAAATATATTTAAACTACCTCATTTTGCATTAAACTAGTATTAAAAAGCAGCATTACATAAATCAGTTTTTCTACAGTTAAAAAATCTGTCCTGGGACAGAAAATTATTTGGATTATGGGACTGTCCTGTGGACATGACATTTCTTGATTAATGAAACTGTCCTGGTAATAGTACTTTCCTGGGATTATGGGACTGTCCTAGGGACAGGACTATCCTGGGATCATAAGACTGTCCTGAGAACAAGACTTTCCTGGCATAACAGGATATTCCTAGAGACAGGACATTCCTAGGACAGCAAAGCAATTTGTTTTCATGTTTTACCTTCTTGTCTTCAGAAATTCATTGGATTGCCAAGCCCCATTTAATGGCGTAAAAGCCTCAGCATTGTATCAGGAAATCCTCGGACATTTACAGGACAAATTTTTGGGACTTCTTAGGATTTCCTGGGATAGTCCCAGGATTTCTTGTTCATTTTCTGCACGGGCTATGTAACTTATAAGTTCGGCAACATCATATGTGTCTAGGTTAAAATTCTAGCACCTATTTTATCAGAACTTTCATCCTTGAACTTAGAATTTTCATAGAAAAATATTGTTTCTTTTCTATTAACTTCTTTCTTTCTTTTTCCCAATAATTTCGATCAGGATTCACTATTTTTACATAGAGTTTTATACAAAAACATTCTTGCCATACCCGTAAAGGCTTATGCTTGATATTTGACATCAAATTCAGGTTTGCTGACATTGAAAATAGAGAAACTATCATTTCTTTCTTTTTATCTATAGATATCTATTTCAAACTTCAAGTATGATTTTCTTTATTATCACTTAAATCATGTGTGAGAAGAGTCAATACTCTAGCTTGACCATTTTCAGAATTATATCCCCCCAAAATTAGATTTTTTTTCTAGAAATTATTATTTCTTACTATATTGTCTTTAATGTCCATATTTCCAGAATCATATCCCCCTTAAAGTTTGTATTTTCCATAATTTTCCTTAAACTTTCCTAAGTTTTGCTGAATTTACTTCCAATTTCAAACATATGTTCATTGTCAACACCTTTTCATATGTGATTTAATTTAAAGTATAATGCAAGGTTTTCATAACTTTTTTTTAATTATATTTTGTTGTTAACATCAACTTTTTTATTTTTGTAAAATTTCGATATAATTTAACTAAATGATGTTTATATTCCTGCAGAAAATATATACAGTCTTTGGTCAAAGCTGCATTCTGGATGTTTCAGAAGCTGAAAAGGGTAATGCTTGCCATTCCTGTATGATCAATACAAAAAGTAAGAGTTGTTTCATAATTGATAACCAATTTGTCACAAAGTCTTCCAGACTTTTTTCAGATGATTTCAAATTTGATAATAATGGCCTGGAATGTTGCTCGAATCCCTTAAAGTTTTCTCCCCAATAATTTCCTCTAGGATTCACTATTTTTACAATGAGTTATATACAAAAATATTCTTGCTAAATCCGTTAAGACTTATACATGATATTTGACAAAGGACGGTTATTTTGCTGTTGTACTCTACCAAGACTATAATACAATCACTAAATAAATTGGGCAATGTGAGGGGCTATACTGGAATCATTTGTCAATCAATTTCTCTCTTCCCCATTTAGCTTTATAAATCCAATACCACTAAAACGATTTTCTCAAGAAATTTCCTAAAATATTCACTGTTCAAAACCATTTTTAGTTTCCGTGTTTTTTCTAGAAGTAAGTATTCTCATTGAATAAAATATCTCTGAAGCAACACCTCTTAGCATAGCAACAACCAAACCAAATTTTTGTCTTCAAAAAAGGTTGTTTTTCGGGGCTGTACCCATGTATCATTTACCCATGGGAAGATTCTTTTTCAATATTGGCTCAAATTTTCATCTCAAGAAGATGATGTACAAAATCCCCATAATGCTTCTGTGCAAGCAAGAGGTTGAGATCATTAGTGAAAATGAAATGTCAGACAATTTCATTTTCACATTGTGAAAAAATCTGTTCTGCTAAAAGTTTTTTTAATCTAGCTTTAATGCTCACATTATAAATTTTGATCAATGTGCTTGCAATAGCAGGTATTAGTCAATCATTTGACAGCTCTACATTTAATTTTGCCCTTACAATTAGAGTTAGCCCTACCCTAGGGTCAATGGACTTAAGCAGTGAACATTTTATCTTCGCCCTTTCTCTTCTTTGTTAGGTCACTTGCTCACAAATAGTTTCACAAACACAGGCATGTGTTCTTTTGTGTAAGCCAGGTTTTGTTAGTTAGATTAACGAGAGACAATTTGATATGCCAGTATAGCAACCTGATAGCCAGTCAGGAAATTTGCATAAACTGTAAACACAGGAGGGGTCTTGCGTAAGGTTGAATCTCTTCTGCCCCCTCTAACAAAGTTGGGAGCGTAGTGTGACTTGCTTGTCTGTTCAGACATGACTATAAATAGTAAGAAATAAGAAGTCCACTGTTAATTTTCAAATTCCCTTTAATATACCAACGTTTTGGCTGGATAGACTTTTTCAGGTATATAGATAAATAATTAACAATAGACAGGAATTTATCAAGTAAAGCCGCCAGTAAAACTGTCTAAGATATATACATAATATTTTTTGGTAATTGGCAGACATTGAAACAGGACTTTAGAATGCATGTGTATGTGTGTTTGTACATCATGTTTTCCATGTGCAATCAGTAATTTTAGATAAAATAAACTTTATTATGTGATACTTATTAATGAACATTTACAATGGTCATTTGATGTCAGCAGATCTACAGTCACTTTGGCTTTGGCCACTAAGAACTTGTCTGACCAATAACTTTAAACTCTGTTAAGAGCAGTCCTATAATATTGTGTGGACATTGGGGATATATAGTAGATAATCCTATTGATTTTGAGATCACAAAGTCAAGGTCATAGTGACCCTATCTTTAAAATAATCTTGTCCTATAAATAACTTGAGAAGAAATAAGGCTAAGAAATAAGGCTAAGTGGAAATATTATCTATAGCTAGTAGATCCCCTTATAATTTGAAATATGTTATTATAACAGCAAAGTCGGGTGGACATATATGTAAATGTGATATGGACACAATTGTAGTAGTTATGACTGTGTCCTGTGCTGAAATAAATTTTACAGTTTGTCAGTATGGACTATTTTTATATGATGCTTGTTTGATGATTTATTGTTATTTCGAGAATGTAATGTTTGATGAAAGTTTTTTTTTTAATCAAGCATATTTAAGTTCAATTTTTTTATCGTAGCAAATCAGACATCCATGAATCAAAAACACAGTGATAACTGCTCTCAGAAAATAGAAGTGTGCATAGCATGTGAGAAGAAAAGTTTTCTCAACCCAATAACATGTTACTGTGGTACAAAATTGACACCTACTATTGGTAAGTAAATTATCTCATATTTACCTGGATATGTCAATTTGTTGATTTAAGTAATTTAGTAAGTAAAAATAGGGTACGTTTAAAATATGTGCCAACAAAAGAAGAAAATATACTGGAGATGTCTGGAGATAAAAGTAGCAAGAATGTAATGACATGATTGATTATATATTAATCAAAGACACATAAGATTCAAACTCGTCAGGGGCAACCCAATGTTTCCTTGAGCAAGAGTCTTTACACTCATTGCTAATTATTGGCTGATTCAACAGTGTGTTTATAAGCCCAACGTTGAGGAAAGGGACCTTGGATTCCAGCTATCAAGCTATATATATATATATCAGATTGTTCATGGTAATGTTCACGTGCCTGCTAATACTTAAGAAAAAGCTCTGAGGGTCAGCCTTTCAGGTCTTAATCTATCAGTAAAGCTTGAAAGTAGCCATATGACTTTTACTGTGTTGCTGCGATTTAAAAAAAAACAAGTGAAAAGAGATAAAAACTTGGCTACCAATTTAACCAATCTAAACTTGACCTTGACTTCTAAATTACTTTCACTTTTAAGGTAAAATTATTGCATTTTGCTATATTTTGCTATAACTTTGTGATTTTCACCTTGAAAAGTCTAATAATTTTATAAGCCACCTACCGCTTTAACCGGGGGTGACTTTAGGCCTACCCTCCGTCCATCCATCCACTTTCTTGTCGAGGATATAACTCTGAAACTACATAATTATAAGTAATAATCAAGAAACTTTGTAGGTAGATAGATCTCATTGAGTATAAGTGCAGTGCAAACGATCTGTAAAACTGCCTTTTCTATTTTTAAGTTATTGCCCATTGCTAATTTTTTACACTTTCAGTTTGTCCGAAACATAACTCTGAAATCACAAGAGGTATCAACAAGAAACTTTGTAGGTCGATAGATTTCATTAAGTACGAGGGGAAGTCAGAACACATCCGGACTTTTGACTCGTTCTCGAAAACCATTTAACATTTTAAAAAGAATCTTTCTACTCTTTTTCAAAATATTCTTCAACTACGTCTACGCACTTTTGCCATCTTCATGGGAGCTTTTGTATTTCCGCTGTGAACCATGACGTAGACATATGTTTTAGGTACTGTGAAACAGTAGATATCAAAGCCGCCCTGGTCTTATATTTCTTTCCAGGAAGCAATTTTTTCAGTTCTGGAAACAAATAAAAGTCACAGGGGGCGAGGTCTGGGCTATAAGGAGGATGAGACAACAATTGCCATTTGTAAGAGTTGATAACCTCTACTGTAGCTGCGGCGGTATGGGAGGGGGCGTTATCGTGAAGAAGGAGAACATTTTTCTGTGCTAACCTGGGACGCATTCGCTTCAGCTTTTCTCTGAGATTTTTCAGAATTACTTCAGAATAGTACTTGCCGGTGACAGTTTGACCTTTTGGCATGAAATGAGTAAGTATCATTCCTCGTGAATCCAAAAAGGCAACAAGCATGACTTTGCCAGCCGAATGAGACAGCTTAAACTTTTTAGGAGGTGGAGAACCACCTCGTTTCCACTGCTTTGACTAAGCTTTTGTCTAAGGTTAGGAATAATGAGCCCACATCTCATCTCCAGTGATAATGCGGTTCTCCAGTGATAAAGCTTTAAAATTTGCTACCATTGTTGGGGTCACCGCCTCAGCTGGCCGCCCAGTCCTAGGCATGTCACAAACAATTATTCTGCCTTCACGAAACTGTGAAACCCGGTTGTAGAAGGTTGAACGTGATACACATTTATCAGAAAATCTTTTTTTAAGCCTCTGAAAGATGTGGCAGGGCTTTTACCTGCTGCAACCAGAAACTTTATAACAGACCGTTGTTCCTCTAACAAAGAGTCCATGATAGACGAAACACCTATCATATATTAGAGGGCAAAATACTGTGTAAACACAAACACATTGAAAATAAACTGACCACGTTATTGGCAAATAAATGTAGTTTTCACCAATATATAATGTGTGTATATAGCTGCACGTGAGAAGAGAGGAGCATTAAAAGTCCGGATATATTTCTGACCGTCCCTCGTAGAAGTGCAATGTATAAGAGCTGTAATTATGTCTTGTTTAATTAGCTCGACTTTGTTTTTAAAACAAAGGTCAGATAAAGGAAATTCTCTTGTTTGTTTTTTTCTGTTACCTGGCTATAACTTTGTTATACATAAATGGATTAACTTCATATTAAAACACAATATTTTTAATGTTAGGACCGTTATGAATATTTATCTCAAATTGACCTTGACTCATGTATGACCTTGCAGGTCTAATATGTTTATTAGTCCCCTACCGGTTTACCGGAGGGGACTTTAGGTTTACTCTCCGTCCGTCTGTCTGTCAGTCCGCACTCACAGGAGAGTAATTATGTGGCTAGATGGACAATAGGTAACTGTTCTTTTTCTTTGATGTCATTCATTCCGTAATGCTTTTATGTAGCTATTTTCTTTCGGGTGGCTAAAAAGAACAATAGAGAGAACAATAGAGTAGCCACATAATTATTGTCTTGTGAGAACGTCCGTCCGTCTATCCGTCAGTCCGTCCGTCCGTCCACAAAACTGGAACCCGCGATAACGCAACGTCTTTATCTTTTCTTCCTATGTTGAAAATTCTGGTTGCTATGGCAACAAATAGGCTGAAAATATGGCAAATTTTACACATAACATGGATCCAGTGATAACGCAAAAAGTACTGGAAATATTTTTATGAAACTTGCAATATTGGTAGATTGCAGTCTAGAGATTATAGACATCCTTTTTCATTTCTTCCTATGATGAAAATTCTGGTTGCTATGGCAACAAATAGACTGAATTTCAAGATTTCTGATTCTAGTTTTTACGTTTTTTCGCTATTTTAGTTTTTACGTTTTTTTGCTATAAGTTCTTTATTTCTGAAACGTTTTTTCTTCAATTTTTAAATAAAAGTTTCTAGTCATAAACCACATCATATGTGACAAGGTTTACAACTTTAGTGCAAAATGTATCAGAATTTCCTCCCTTGAACTTAGAATTTTCATGATTTTTTTTTGATATCTTCTTTATTTCTGAATGTATCTACTTCAAACTTCATATATATGTTTCTTATTATCACTCAACATTTGTGTGAAAGTTCAATACTCTAGCAAGACTATTTCCAGAATTATGCCCCTTTTGAACTTGGTATTTTACTCCAACTTCTTCCATTATTATAGGATTTTCTTCAAACTCCCAAATCATAATAATATGAAAAGGTTTATAAATCTCGCATCCATTTTTCCAGACTTATCTCCTCCTTAAACTTTGAATTTTTCTTATTCATGCTTTTAACTTTCTTTCACTTCAAATTCAAAGAAAACATTCATTATCAACACCTTCATTACTAATTGTTCGTTGTTACACTCACATAATGTATGACGTCTTGCATCTTTAAAGAGTTATATATTTCTTTAAAATGTTATATTTTGATTATAGTGATGTTTAACAGTGATGTTTAAAAAAATAACTTCAGAGTGTCCTTGTGTCCTTCAGGCCCTCTGTCTGTACATAAAAACTGTTTCCTGTGATCACTTTGAAAGAATTTTTTCAACAAATTTACATAAAATAGAAACATAAGTGAATGGTCAATGGCCTTTCAGAATGTTGCTGGGGTTCTAACATGTAGGGGACTTATGGATTGCTTGCAAAACTATGATGATTGCTTGTTTTTACTGATTTCCGTTGTATTGTAGCCTGTAGTCCTGAAAATATACAAGAATGTTGATCAGCATGTGTAGTTGTGCACCTTGGGGATTGCTTGTAGATTTATTCAGTAATTGTAGAGTTTTTGTCATTGACTTAGTAATAGTAAAATGTTTTCAGTTTTCAACTTGTATCACGTGAAGCCCCCAAAAATTGACAAAGAGTCAGTGCATTGACAACATGTTGGAGTGCCGGGGTACCGGCGTGTCCAATGGACACATTCTTAGTTCTGCTTTTTTCCATCATATTCATATTTGGACAAAACATCACCTGACATTTTGATTTATTCAAGTTCAGTCTTGACTTTGATCTAAAAGTGACCTTGGCCATCATGCTTATTATCTTGAAAACTACTTAACACAAAGAATTGATATTTCACATACTTATTGATAATTTTTACTAAGTCAGCCATATTGACTTTGGGGTCACTAGGTTAAAGGTTAAGGTCACAGAGGCCTTAAATGTCAGAATGGTTTCCGCCCAATTATCTTAAAAACTATGCATCACAATGTCTTCATATTCAACACAGTGATTGGCCATAACTAGTAAATGATCCTATTGATTTGAGGTCACTAGGTCAAAGATCAAGGTCACATGGCCTTAAATGATAGAATGGTTTCTGCTCATTATCTTGGAAACTATTCATTACAAATTCTTCATATTTCACAAACTGTTTGGACATAACTAGTAGGTGACCCCTATTGACCTTGGGGTCACTAGGTCAAAAGTCAAGGTCACAGCAGCCTAAAATGTTAAAATTGTTCGCTCATTATCTTGAAGGCTATATTTCACAAAGTCTTCATATTTCACATTTTGATTGGTCATGACTAGAATATGACCCCTATTAATTTGTGGTCAAATAATAATAAGTCAAAGGTCAAGGTCACAGGGGGCTTGAATGGTAGTGTGGTTTCTACATATCTAGAAAGCTATCTCATTATCTTTGAAGCTATTATCACAAAGTCTTCATATTACACATATTGATTTTGGGGTTACAAGATCAATGGTCAAGGTCACCCGGGTCTTTAATGTCAGAATGGTTTATGCTTATTATCTTCAATTTTTTTATCACAAATATTTCATATTTCACGTATAAATTGGTCATTACTATAAGATGACCCCTATTGATTTTGGGGTAACTAGGTAAGAGTTCAATGTCAAAGATGCATTTAATGTCAGAATGGTTTCTGCTTATCTTGAAAATAACTTATCACAAAGTTTTCATATTTCACATATTGATTGGTCATAACTAATAGATGCCCCCCTTTGATATTCTGATCACTTTGTCAAAGGTCAAAGTCACAGGGGCCTTAAATGTCAGAAAGGTTTACGCTCATTATCATGAAAACTATTTATCACAAAGTCTTTATATTTCACATATTGTATAGCCATATGTAATAGATGACCTCCATTGTTTTTGGGATCACTAGTTCAAAGGTCAAGGTTACAGGGGCCATAAATAGAAATATGGTTTTCTCTTATTACCTTTAAAAGGTTTTGTCATGAAGTCTTCATATTTCGCATATTTATTAGTCATAATGGAGTCACTGCTAAGTTCAAATGTCAAGCTCTTTATATTTCGCATATTGCTTATAACGTGTAGGTCTTTTTTTTACATAACTGAATACTTCCATGTGCCCATTGATGACAAGTTTCCATAACAAAATTACAAATAATGTCAGTCAAGGGCTAAAAAGGAGGGCATATGTGTCGCTCGACATGTCTTGTTAAACATATCATTGACTTGTAAATGGTTTTGTCTTACATTGTCAAATTTGAAATATTGATTACATTTTGTAATAGAAAATTATGTTTTATAGAACCCCTAACTACAGTGGTCTTCCTCTGATGTATTTGCTATTATAATAAGTGTGACCCTTCTTTTATACTATGATAAATTATTATGTACATAAACATTTTTTTTGTCCAAAAAAAAACGATTTCTTTCAATCAGTCAGCAAATGACTTCAGTTGCAATACAACTTGTGGCAAAATACTTCAAGCATATGTTGCTTTTTTATTTTTATGTGTTAAGGTCATAGATGGGCAGCCTTATTAGTAGCAGGAAAAGATACGACAGATACAAACAGGATTAAAATATCAAAGGCTCTGGTCAAAGATGTAAAGGAATTAGAGAAGCTGTTGACATCTCTTGCACCTCGAGTTTTTGGGATAAGGTTTGTAAATGATTTTCGTATTGCTTACCAGAGTAGATTATAGTAGATTATAGTAGAACTTCTACGATTCGATCTTCGATTAGTCGATTTTCTCCATGTGTAGAAGTAAAATGAAAAACCCGCATTCCTGTCTGTATATTTCTTTATAAAAACCTTTATATCAGTCGAATCTTTGTCACTGTGTTGAAGTTTTTTTCATGGTCCGTATGGAATAAATCGAGTACAATTTATCACAAATAAGTCGAAGTCCTTATTTTATTTGACATCTTCGATCTCAAAACATTTTTCACACCTTTTCTGTCTATGGAGATATTTTCAAATCAACTTGTGTGACAGGTGTTAATAACACATCCATGTGTTCAAACATCCTTTGTTTGCGTTGAATGAGTGTTAAAATGCTTTAATTGTTACCATTGAAATTGCCGCAGGGATATTTGAAAGTAAACAATAAGAACTACTTTAATTTGACTTTTTGTAACCCGGTGTCGCATGACAATCACACGTGATATATTTACTGTATGCTGGTTGAGTTATCCCACTTTCCTTTACTAATGCCTTTGTAAAATTGTTTGTAAACGTCAATGGCTTGAAGTTTAGTAATTAAATTGAGACCAATTCGTGAGTCGAAGTCCCGATGTGTCGAAGTTTTTACGCAAATGCCTTCAACATCGACTTCCTGAAGTTCTTATGTATGTATGTTTAACACTACCCTTAAACCATTTTATACACTGTTTTTATGTTGCCTTTTTTGTCCATTAACACATTTCAGTATCAAATTATTTCCATATAATATAAAAGTATTATGCAAAGATTATCCTACATTATAATTTCAACAAATAATCATTATTCACAACTTGCTTTTCTAACATTATTAATTTTATTAACTAAATAAGCATTGTGCAATTTCAATGCTAAATATGATAGGGGCCATAGTCTGAACTGTAGAAACTCTGATTGCCATGGCAACCGAAAGAAAAATCTGAAAAATATTTGTTTCTTTTTTAATTCAAAAAGTTACAGCATGGGTGGCTACCACATTTGATCAAATAAAAGCCCTGGGATTAATCCTGACCCTTGTCAATGAGAATCTTTTATCTTCAGATGAGCAATTGCAGCGCAAGCATGGCCCTGTTATTCTTGTTTTCTGGTTTTTATGGAAAAACCCAAATTAAAAATAAAATAATCCATAAACCAACAATGTTTATCCAACACAATTTTTTTTCAAGTTAACTCTTCTACAGTTACTGTTTCTTAAAATCTGAACCCTAATCATAGCAAGGTCTTTTGTTATTACCATATGTAAGGTAGAAAAAGGTTCACATAAGTTCCCTGGTACAGATCTAACAGTGACATAAACATCTGTTTAATGCCGACTCTCATTGTCCAGCATATTCCACGCAACACTAAATGAAATGTCATCTTGCGGTTTATTTTCAAGTGATCAAATTATTGAATATAAACACATCATATGCCAATGGCCAATTCAGAAGGTTTTCTCCTATTTTAGGCAGTTCAAAACCTTTCTAAGGCTTGTAAGCTTAAGAATGCGAAATAAAAATGTGTGTCATTTATTAAATGTATTTTGACTTAAATTTATTGTATATTGACTGAAAGAACACTGTCAGAATCTATTATTTGCTCGGTATGCTGAAGTTGCATTATTGATTTTGACATATATAATTATATATTTTGCAATTCTCGCAAAACCTGTATCAATTGGTTTTTACTACTTACCCTTAAATTTGTCCTAACATTGTATTTCATGGCTTTTTCCAAGAATTGAGGAGATTGCCAATTTTTTTGCTGCCATGTGACCATATACTTTATATATATATACTTTATTTGCTACTGTATTTGTAAAGCACCCAACACTTCCAAAAAAGTCCATGTTAGCTATGTATACATCTTACTTTTCAGTAAAACCAACATTCGGACAGTTGTACCCGCTGCTCCAGACAGACTAAATGATGAGGAAAAATTATGGCCGAAAGTCAATGAATCCATCTGCTACTTTAGTCAGAGAACAGATATAGATACCATGCTCATATATATTTCCTGCCATGGAGCTCGATCAAATGGGTCTGGAGACATGAAAGATTTCCAGTTTCAACTTGGATCAAGTCCAAATGACAGTATTAGTCTTTATCAATTTGAAAAAGAGCTAGAGCGTTTGGTAAATATTGAAAAACTGATTATAGTGTTAGATCGGTGTTATCCTCCATTGGTCAGATTAGAGAAAAGGGACAGGGTATACATTCAAATGAACTCTTGCAAGCAGGATCAGAAGGCGCAGATGGATAATAATGGAAGCCTCTTTACAAGATTTTTTATCAGAGGTTTAAAAGCGAAGTCAGAGGGAAAAATATGTTCAGATAATTGTCAGCCTTGTATTGACTACTGGAATAGAAGTAAAGATTTTATAACGATTCACAATTTATATGACTACATCAAAGGTCATTTAAATGATCAAACTCCAGTCTATGAGCCTCATTTGTATGACCATAGTAGTAATATTGCATTCTACACAGGTGATCGAGTGGAAATACAATTCAGTCATAAAAACTCATCTAAAAACATACCACTAGACCATCTTAAAGATATGAAAGAATTGAAAAAGAAATTGAAAGAAGAGTTTGGTCGTAAGTTATATATTTTTTTAAATCCTTCTGCAACGCGGAAACGGGTCTATAAAAATAGCTTCCGTCACTCTGCACTACCAAAAAGGGACAGGAGCCATCTAACAGTAAACAGAACATAAGAAAACAAAGAATTCATTTCGTTACAATAAAGGAAGGGGGAAATAAATCTCTATTAAGAAAGATAAAATAACATAGAAATGGCAATTTACTCAGTCGCACGTCCGTCCGTTTGTCCGTCCATTTGTCCGTCTGTAACACTTTGCCCACTTCATAACTTTTATACTGCTGATTTTTGAGCCCCTACTTTAGCGGAGGGGGGGGGGCATTTAGATTTACCCTTGTCCGTCTGTCCGTTCGTCGGCACCTCCGTCTGTCTGTTTTCGTTTGTGTCGCACGTAGCTCAAAAAATACATGACTTAGATACTTTACTACAGAAATTCTGCTCAGCATGTGTGGTTTTGCACCTTCGTATTTTCATGTGGATTTACTTAGTATTTTTAGAGTTATTGCCCTTAACTTAGTAAATATTTGCAATTTTCGACTTGTGTCGCACGTTACTCATCAAGTATTGACCTAGAGTCATGAAACCTTACAGGAATGTTTTTCAGCACGTTGAGTTGTGCACCGTGGTAATCTTGTGTGAATTTATTTAATATTTGCAGAGTTATTGTCCTAGATTTATAAACAATTTTTTTTTACTTTTGTCGCATGTAGCACATTTTTTTTTACTTAGGGTCATAAAAGTTTACAGGAATGTTGATCAGGATGTGTAGTTTTTTTCGTGTGTATTTATTTAGTATTCGCAAATTTATTGCCCTTGGCTTAATAAAAATTTGCAATTTTCAACTTGTGGCACATGTAGCTCAAAAACTATTCGACATAGTCACAAAATTTGACGGGTATTTGATCAGCCTGTGAAATTGTGTTCCTGGGGTTTCGCTTGTGAAATTATATGTTTTGTCAGAGATATTGCCGTTGACTTAGTGAAAATCTCAATTATCAATTTGTGTCCTGCATTTAACCTAGAGTCATGAAACATAACAGGAATTGTTTTTTCTCTTTTTATCAGGCCTCAACTGGGTAACCCTATTTATTTCAAATAGTTTTAAATTTTTACATATTATCATTTTCATCAGAATATTTATAAATGACTGGTAAATTTGGGTATAAAGCTAAATTTTTACTGCCTGATATTCTGAAAAAAACATTTTATCAAATGTATGAAAAAAATGTGTAGACATATAAGTTGCAAAAATTTCAGTCAATATACTACAAATGTGTATGTATGGTATAATTCTTTACATTTTGATAAATATTTTGCAATACACATACATAGTTTTATACCCTTTTAAAGCAAGCACATTATAATATACCCATATGTTCAATGTAAAAACATAATTTTGCAATGGTATTATCAGGTAATAAGACATATATTTTAATCAGTTTGTCAGTGTAGTTTATTAAAATAAAGATCTTACTAATCCCATCTATTATTTTCATTTTCTGTCAAGTTTATTGTCCCCCGCCTTTTCGAAGAAAAAAGGGGGATATAGAAATAGGCTCCGTCCGTCTGTCCGTCTGTCCGTCCGTCCGTCTGTCCGTCCGTCACACTTTCGTGTCCGGTCCATAACTTTGTCATTTATGAAAGGAATTTGAAATAACTTGGCACAAATGTTTATTATAATAAGACGATGTGTCATGCGCAACAACCAGACCCCTACCTCCAGGGTCAAGGTCACACTTGCTCATTCAAGGTCAAAATTGCCTATTTGAGGGTATATGTCGTGTCCGGTCCATAACTTTCTTATCTATGAAGGGATTTTGTAAATTCTTGCCATAATTGTTCACAATAATCAGACGATGTGTCATGCGCAAAAACCAGTCACCTACCTTCAAGGTCAAGGTCACACTTGGAGGTCAAATATTAACATAGTCTGTTGCAGGGTATATTTCGTGTCCGGTCTATAACTTTCTTATCTATGACTGGAATTTGGAAATACTTGCCATAATTGTTCACAATTATCAGACGATGTGTCATGCGCAAAAACCAGTCACCTACATTCAAGGTCAAGGTCACACTTGGAGGTCAAATATTAACATAGTCTGTTACAGGGTATATTTCGTGTCCGGTCCATAACTTTCTTATCTATGAAGGGTTTTTGTAAATACTTGCCATAATTGTTCACAATAATCAGACGATGTGTCATGCCCAACAACCAGTCACCTACCTTCAACGTCAAGGTCACACTTGGAGGTCAAATATTAACATAGTCTGTTACAGGGTATATTTCGTGTCCGGTCCATAACTTTCTTATCTATGACTGGAATTTGGAAATACTTGCCATAATTGTTCACAATTATCAGAAGATGTGTCATGCGCAAAAACCAGTCACCTACATTCAAGGTCAAGGTCACACTTGGAGGTCAAATATTAAAATAGTCTGTTACAGGGTATATTTCGTGTCCAGTCCATAACTTTCTTATCTATGAAGGGTTTTTGTAAATACTTGCCATAATTGTTCACAATAATCAGACGATGTGTCATGCCCAACAACCAGTCACCTACCTTCAACGTCAAGGTCACACTTAGAGGTCAAATATTAACATAGTCTGTTACAGGGTATATTTCGTGTCCGGTCCATAACTTTGTCATTTATCAAAGGAATTTGAGATAACTTGGCAGAAATGTTTGTTATAATAAGACGATGTGTCATGCGCAACAACCAAACCCGTACCTTCAGGGTCAAGGTCGTACTTGTTCATTCAAGGTCAACATTGTCTATTTGAGGGTATATGTCATGTCCAGTCCATAACTTTCTTATCTATGAAGGACTTTTGTAAATACTTGCCATAATTGTTAACAATAATCAGATGATGTGTCATGCGCAAAAACCGGTCACCTACCTTCAAGGTCAAGGTCACACTTGGAGGTCAAATACTTACATAGTCTGTTACAGGGTATATTTTGTGTCAGGTCTATAATTTTTTCATAGATCAAAGGATTGTGAAAATACTTCGCACAAATAGTCACTATAATAAGAGGATGTGTCATGCGCAACACCTGCATCCCTACCTCCAAGGTCAAGGTCACACTTAGAGGTCAAAAATTAACATAGTCTGTTATAGGGTATATTTTGTGTTGAATCTAGAACTTCTTCATAGTTCAAGGGATTTTGAAATAACTTGGCACAAATAGTCACAATAATAAGACGTTATGTCATGCACAACACCTGCTCCCCTACCTCCAAGGTCAAGTTCACACTTAGAGGTCAAAGCTTAACATGATAGATTTTTAAATTCCGTGTTTCATTTTATTTTTTTAACAAATTTATTGTTACATTTGCAGATCTAGCATTGATCATAATTTTGGACTGAATGTCCTGAGATCCATACCTCAATCTTTTGAAATAGCACAATTTTATGCTTCATATAAAACTCCCGGGGCGGGGGACGTTGGTAACTCTGTTACAAATTCTTGTATTTTTATAAATATTCCAAGCTAATTTAAGACTGTTTTTAAAACCAAATCATGTTGGTAGAACATTTTCTTTGACAAATAAATATGTCTTTTCAGTTCTGAAAATAATATGTCATATTTTAAAATGTTAGATACTGTATGTAAAATAAATGATTTACAATTGAAAAAATATTCAAAATTTTGTATGATATCTTTTAGATATTGAAAAAGGCTTTGAATCTTGTGACATTCCCAAAACAAATGCAAAAATGTTTCTTCATAACAATTACAAATATACATTTTTATTTTTATTGTAAACAATTTTAATTTTTAACGAAAGTGAGTTTGTTTCTATAATTATATGAACAATTCTTATTTGGAATCATTGAATATATGAATCTTTTGTACAATGGACAACATAACTATAAAATGAATGCAAATTAATGTTATATCCTATAAGCATGTGTTCCACTTTTCTTCACTTGTTTGTTAATCCACGGGGGAGGAAGTGTTACACGAAGGATGGAGTTCTTATGATAAATTGTTTGGAGTTCTTATGATAACTGTCACGGAGTTCCTGGAAAATGTTACGGATTTCTGTGGAAAACTTTTCTATATACTTGGAAAACTCGCCTAAAAAATGGTTATTTTTAACTTTAAATGGGGAGTGTGAGGTGCTAAATTAAACTTTGATAATTAAGCTTGCCCTACATATTGTATTTTGTTTCAGAAAAAATCTTTTACTCCATATTTTGTCGCCTTTTTTAAAAAAAATCTGCATGTTTTGAGAAAAATTACCAAATTACTTGCTAATTCGTACATATTGACCTTTTCATTTGTGATCTTCTTCGTTGCTATACTTAATTACCTAATTATTATGGAGAGTTGCAAACATAAAGCCCGGGCTAATAAATTTATACCCGAATTTTCAAATGTTACGGAGTTCTTGCGATAACTCAAAATATATCCTGGAGTTCTTATGATAACTTTTGTTACTGCCAGTGTGTTTTTGTGCTTAATCACGGCGCGTTTAAGCGTATTTTATTAGACAATAAGTGTGTAAATCATTATGAAGCATACTACGCTTATCATTTGCACAAAAATTTGGTTATATAACGTTGGTTTTGATCGTGTTTTTCAGTTCAAGAGATATTATTCTTACCTCCGTTTCTTGTGTTTTTTTGTGTTTGTTTTGGTCTTTTTGTGTGTGTGTTTTTTTTATATTTTATTGGAATGACTGTAAACATACTTGATGTAGAGCATTTACTTACAGGATAAAAATACGCTTTGAATCATGATTTCGTCATATATACATTATTCCTGGCAGTTTTAGAGAACATTAAGTAACTATGCTATCGGTATGCATGTAAATGGTTTTCAGCAAAATAGGAGGTAGTATGCACTACCTTTATCTAAATTTAATGAGGTGGGTGTCGTCTTTATGTTTCAACGGGTATTTCAATTTTTAAAAGGTATCAGTTTTTGTCATAGAAACTTATAAAGTTCTATGACAATGATCACGGTGCATATCCATATCTGTACC